GCCTTTGGCTCAGTTCATGATGCAAGGGTCCTGGGATAGCCCCATGTGGGCTCCCTGCTCAGCGGGGAGTCGGCTTCTCCCTCTTCCTCTGCCCCTCCCCCACCTCTTGCTCTCTCTTTCTCTTGTAAATAAATAAAATCTTTTTTTAAAATGACAGAATTAGGGCGCCTGGGTGGCTCAGTTGGTTAAGCGACTGCCTTCGGCTCAGGTCATGATCCTGGAGTCCCGGGATCAAGTCCCACATTGGGCTCCCTGCTCAGCAGGGAGTCTGCTTCTCCCTCTGACCCTCCCCCCTCTCATGTGCTTGCTCTCTCTCATTCTCTCTCTCTCAAATAAATAAATAAAATCTTTAAAAATAAAATAAAATAAAATGACAGAATTATAGAAATGCAGAGTAGATTTGTGGTTGCAAGGGCTTATGGAAGGGATGGAAGGGAGTGAGGGACCTTTGCGGTGATAAAATTATCTGTATCCCAACTGTATCAATGTGATATTGTATTATAATTTTGCAAGATGTTACCATCAGGAGGAAACTGGGTAAAGGGTATATAGGATCTCTTTGTACTATTTCTTAAAATTGCGTGTAAATCTAAAAGATCAAAATAAAAAGCTTAATCAACACAATCACACACAAGTATTATATATTGCTTCGGGAGCTATATGGTGTATCTCAAAATGTATAAAAAAGGTTTTCAAACATTTATATCCCAAGTTGATTAATAGGGGGTGTCTCTGGGGAGGGCATGGGAACTGGGGAGATGATCCTTGGAATATTTAATCTCATCAATAATATTTTAGTTCCCCGGGGCACCTGGCTGGCTCAGTCCATGGAGCTTCCTGACTCTTGATTTTGGGATTTTGAGTTTGAGTACCACGTTGGGTGTAGAGATTACTTAAAAATAAAACCGTTAAAAAATAATATTTTATTTCCTTACAAGGAGAGGGAATTCTACCTGAGTAATTAAAAATTTAAACCAGGGGCACCTGAGTGGCTCAGTTGTTAAAGCATCTGCTTTCGGCTCAGGTCATGATCCCGGGGTTCTGGGATCGAGCCCCGCATCAGGCTCCCGGCTCCACGGGAGGCCTGCTTCTCCCTCTCCCACTCCCCCTGCTTGTGTTCCCTCTCTCACTGTCTCTCTCTCTGTCAAAAAATAAATAGAATCTTTAAAAATAAAATAAAAAAATAAAAATTTAAACCAACTTAGAGTGCCTGGCTGGCTCAGTTGGTGGAGTGTGCAACTTTTGACCTCCAAGTTATGAGTTCTAGCCCCACACTGGATGTAGAGAGTGCTTAAAAATAAAATCTTTAAAAAAATTTTAAAAACAACTCATTGGATATGGGGGAAATGCTAGCTCATTGATTCCTTAATTCCTGGTAGGATGAAAAAATTTTGAGAGCTTTCTAAAAGGTAGAGCATGTTGATCTGACCTCTAGACCCGCTGATATAGCTGAGTAAAATGCTGGGCTTGCCCTCCAACCTTCTGCTACGCTGCTGATAATCTCTACTTACCAGATCTTTTTTCCAGCCTGTACTGGGCCCTCAGACACTGCATCTGTGTCTCTGGCTTATGGTTGGGTTCAGCCAATGGGAAGTGCGGGCAGGAGATTAAAGGGAGGAGGTGAGCAAGGTTGGGGTATTTATTCTCTGTCCTCCTTGTTCCCTCCCTGTAGGGCTGAGGTCTGACAGTGGCTGTGTTCCTGTTCCACTGTCTACAGCCTCATCTCTCTATGATGGCACCAGCTGTCCACGTTGCTAGCCTCTGGGTACAACGCCATCCCTTGCTGGTTCCCTTAACCTGCCCACTTTGGCCCAGATTACACATCTGGGTAGGTCACCAGCTATCTGTATATTTCTTTTTTTTTTTCCGTGAATTTTTTTCACTGGAATTTTTATTGAGATCATTGTAGCTTTGCATGCTATTGTAAGAAATAATACAGAGAGGGACACCTGGGTGGCTCAGTCAATTAAGCGTCTGCCTTCAGCTCAGGTCATGATCCCAGGGTCGTGGGATCGAGTCCCGCCTTGGGCTCCTTGCTCATCTGGAGCCTGCTTCTCCCTCTCCCTCTGCCTGCCGCTCCCCCTGCTTGTGGGCGCTCTCTCTCACTGACAAATAAATAAATAAATAAAATCTTTAAAAAATAATAGTAATACAGAGAGATCCTGTGCACTCTTTATCCAGTTTCCCCCAAAGATTACATCTTACAAAATAATAGTATAATATCACAACCAGGCGATTGACATTGATAAAATTTGCCCATCTTATTAAGAGATCCTCAGTTTTACTCGTATACAGTGTGTGTATGTATGTACACCTTTTGTAATGAAGTAGCAGTCTCAAAGAGTGGGTCCCAAGAAACCTTTCCATTAGGGACTCCTGGGTGGCTCAGTTGGTTAAGCGTCTGCCTTCCACTCAGGTCATGATCTCCAGGTGCTGGGATCGAGTCTGCTTCTCCCTCTCCCTCTGCCCCTCCTCCCTGCTTAGGTGCTCTCGGTCTCTCTCTCTCTCTCAAGTAAATAAAATGAAATTAAATTTAAAAGCCTTTCTATTAGGTTGGTATTTGTCTTAGTCCACTGGGCTGCTTTAACAAAATACCATAGACTGGGTGGCTTGTAAACAACAGAATTTATTTCTCATAGTGCTGGAAGCTGGGAGGTCCAAGATCAGGTGCCTGCCAGGTCAGGTGAAGGCCCTCCTCCGGGAGGCCAAGTTCTCACCTGGTGGAAGGGAGCTTGGGAACTCTGTGGGATCTCTTTCATAAGAGGACTAACCCCATTCATGACTTCCTCACCTCCCAAAGGGGCCACCAACAAATACCACCATCTTTGTTGATCAGGATTTCGACATCTACATTTTGAGGGGACAAACATTCAACAGTATTAAATGTACTTTTTACTGTACATCATTCAAGCACAATAGCCTGCATTGCGGGGCTCAGAGCTGAATTACCGATTGTCGAGAATCTTCACCTGCTGCATCTCTGTGCCCAGTTCCACAGCACTCCACTCTTCCTGCCATTACCAACTTTACTTGTAGTTCTTCAGCCTTTGAAGACATGTGCTTGCATTTCAGCCCCAAAGTGTCTATCAGTTAAGGACACGTTTCATGGCCAATAACCAAAACCCTAACTCAAGCCAGCTTGAACAATGGACAATTTATGGACTTCTAAAACTAGAACTCCAGAATTTAGGTGAGGCTTTAGGTGAGGGTTGATCCTGTAGGACATCACGAGCCTCCCAATTTTGTTTTATCTTTTGGGTCTCCCTTCCACAGGTGGGAAGGCTGTTTACACTTACAAATTTCTAGATGGGTGCTAGCAGCTCGCCTGGCTTTATACTTTCTTCTTCTTCACTAGGCAGAATACAGCTTCTTTCCCCAAGATGTCCAGTACTGAGATTTATTCTGATTGGACTGGCTTAGGTTGCATGTCCATAACAAACCCAATCACTGGAGCCATGGGGACAACTGAGGCAAATGGCTGCAACCCGGTCACATACCCCATTACAGAGATTGGGGCAGGGGGGCAAGTCACCTTCCCAAAACCATCTGAATCTCCAACTGAAATGGGGGATGCTGGGATGGGTGGGGGGGAGAGGTAATGGAAGCTTAGAAAGTATGCTGCATGGACACTTTGGGGGATCCTTTCTACTGTTTCCATAGAATTTCCCTCATGATTTTTTGGAGTTCTTCCATTTCAACCATTGTGATGTTTCTTAAAACTTCTGTGCCTTTGGGGCGCCTGGGTGACTCAGTCAGTTAAGCATCTCCCTCTTGAATTCTGCTCAGGCCATGATCTCAGGGTCATGAGATCAAGCCCTGAGTTGGTCTCTGCACTCAGCCCTGAGTCTGCTTGAGATTTTCTCCCTCTCACTCTCTCTCCCTCTGCCCCCACCACAGACAGTGTTCGAGTGCGCTCTCTCTAAAAAAAAAAAAAAAAAAAAGCAAAACAAAAAACCTCTATGCCTTTGAATAAGAAGACCTACACTGAAAAAACAAAATAATTCTCTCATAATGCTGAGGAAGACCTCCATCTGAAAAAGTCACGACTTGCCTGTAATTATCAATATTTATTAATGAATTTACTTATCATTAGTTAGAGGTGGTCTCATGGAGGAAGCTTGGTTGAACTCGCCCAGAACATACCTCAGCGATTCTGTACGTGGGCAGATTAGTCTCCATAGATGAGAGACAATAAAGCACCACCGAGCACCGCCACAGTAACCCAGACGGTCCCAAAGCCACATCTAGGAGCTGTGTGAGCTCAGGCAGGACTCCTAGCCTCTCTGTATCCCAGTTTCCTCATTGACAAAATGTCAGCTAAGAAGAGGACCTATTTGGCCATGCTGCTGAGGAGAATAAAGCAGTAAGCACAAGAGAAGAACTTAAAGTGGGGCTTCGCGGATGGGAAGTGCTCAGTGCGATTCAGCCATGATGATTATTAACCATGATTGAAAAACTCATGTCTGACACTCCGCTTTTCAACAGCACACTCACATTTATAATCGGTAAAGGAATAGATTATCATTTAATAGCCGACTCAGGAAGACCTGAATGAGGAAAAGCCAGACAGAACCCAGGGCGTAGTTTTCAGGGTGAGAGAGAAGGATAAAACGAGAAAGACAGGAATGTAAGGATAGGAAGAGCCTGCCTACGGGGCACTAGATACCCACAGTGGGAACTCCCGGAGGGCAGGCACTTGTATGCGGGCTCAGAAAGGAAGGATGTGGTGTGTTTTCAGTTCATTCCTAGAGTGCAGAAGAAAGACAAGACAGGCGGAAGAGACAAACAGCTGTCCAGCAAACAGACACGGGCAGCGGGTTCAGGAGAAGAGGGTCGGGGCAGAGTCATGGCTGGCACGGTCCCGCGCGCGGGTAAAGTCCTCACCCGCTGGCGAGCATCCCACCCGGCCCGCGGCCAGCGCTGACGTTCGGAAAGCTGAGCGGGACCGCGAGGGAAAGCCCGGTGGCTCCCCGGGTCCCCGCCGCTCACATAAAGCCGCCATGGAGGGCGCAGGCACCGCTGTCCGAGGTGGGCACCACGCCGGGGCCAGCGGGAGGCAGGGCCCGCTGCCGCCCCAGGGAGGCACCGAGGGCACTCCGCAGGGGAGCAGGGAGCGCACAGACGCCGCCGGCCGGAGGGGGTCTGCGGGCTCCTCCTCTCCCCCGCCGCCGCCGCCGCCAGCCGCCGGCGCTCCGAGCATCAGCGCCCGTGCGAGGCCCTGCAGAGGCCGGGGCTGGGCCTCTCGCCTGCCGTCCCGCGCCTTCTGCAGGAGCAGAGATGGGCCCGAGGGGCGCAGCCGCGGCGGCCGTGGCGCTGTGGGTCTTGCTGACGGCGGGCGAGGCGGCGGACCCTGGCGTGGCGACGCCCCGGCGCTGCCTCCTGTCACACTACCGCTCGCTGGACCCCAGGGCGCTGGCGGCCGTCAAGGCGCTGAGGGACCGCTACGTGAGTGATGCCCAGACCTCCCCCCCCCGCCCCGAGCCCGAGGGCCGGCCGGGTCCCAGGCGCCGGTCCCGGTCTGCGACGGCCCTTGCGCCCTAGCGCCCGGCAGGGCGGCTCGGATCTCCGGCAGAATCCTGAGCACCAGCTCTTGCGGGCCGCCGAGGGGAGGGGGGGGGCGCTGAGCCCCGGCCCCGCCTCTGTGCCAGTCGCCCCCCCCCAGGGCGCCCCCTGCAGGCGGGCTCGGTTCCACGTCCGGGCGAGGCGCCGGCGGGGTGCCTTCTGCCACCGTTCGCGCCTTCGGAGAGCTGCGGGGTTCTGTGCACAGTGCGCACCACGGTCGCGGCCAGGCGCGTGCCACGTGCAGGAATCCCCGCCGTCGCAGCGCTTCGGGGGCGTGGCGAGGAGGCCCAGCCTCACGCCGGCCCTTGTCCCGCAGGAGGAGGAGACGCTGAGCTGGAGGCCGCGCAACTGCTCCTTCCGCCCGAGGAGGGATCCTCCGCGGCCCTGGGTGAGGCGGCCGAGCCGTCGGGGCGGGAGGGAAGGAGGGGGCCGGGCGGCGGGGGACGGCGCGGGCCGGGGCCGCGGCCTCTCTAACTGCCGCCGGCTCCCCCCGCAGTCGTGCGCGCGCCTCCGCCTCGTGGTCCGGGGCCTGGCGGACGCCCAGGCGGTGCTGAGCCGCCTGCAGAGCCCCGAGCGGTTCCCCGGCCCCGGCCCGACCCTGGAGCTGCTGGCGGCCGCGCGGCGGGACGTGGGGGCCTGCGTGAGTGCCGCCCGCGCCCCCGGCCCCTCGGGCCTCCAGCCCGGGCCCACCCGCTTGGCCAAGCTGTTCCGCAGCCACGGTTCGCGTGGTCTCGGGGTCTCCCAGTCCGGGCTTTGGTCTGCGGCCGGGAGGGTGACGGGCAGAGTCCCCGGGACACTCGGTTCTTCGCCGTCTCCATGTCCTTCGTGTTCCCCCTGCAGCTCGAGCTGGTGCGGCCAGGCTCGTGGAGGAAGTCCCTGCGGCCACCGAGGAGGCGTCCCCAAACACGGAGAGCTGTGAGTGGCGCGGGCGGTGGGGCGGTTAGACCGCAGGGAGGACCGTGTGAGGTTGACACGGGATGGGAGCTCAGACTCTGAGCGGTGAGCGACTGGAGGGGACTTTGTCTCGAAGGGAATTCCTGGCTCAACCCGGCTCCGCCTCCTTCCCGGGTTCCCGGGTTCCAGGACTCGCCTCGGTGCCACGAAGCCAGCGTCATCTTCAGCCTCCTGCGCCTGCTCACGTGGGACCTGAAGCTGGTGGCGAACTCGGGGCCTTGTCTCTGATCCCCGCCGCGGCTGCGCCTGGGACCCGCAGCTCTGCAGGCGGGCGGCTGCGGGGGCTGCCTTCTGCTGGCGCATTGGAGCAGGCGGGTGTCTCAGCCAGTGGGCGCTGAGGCTCGGGGGGCTCTCAGCCTGCGTTGGCCGGACCTCCACCCACCTGCACCGAGGGTCAGAGGTGCTGGCGCTTTCCCCAAGACCCTGAGTTCCCCGGATGCAGCGATATTTCCGTGGGACGCGTTGCCCTATGATCTTCCAGGCGCCTGGTGTGGCTAGAAGAGACTTGAGTCTGGAGTCTGCCTTGGTCGCTGACCCCCACGTACCATGGACCAGTTTCTACTTCTGTGGTTACCAGGATCCCAGAAGCTCTCTCCCAGAACAGCGCCCCCCCCACATTTGAACCTTCAACTCCCATTTTGAGATTGTATGAATCTATGACTCTTGAATCTCCCCAGTGGGGAGGCCCCATACATTCCCTGAGGGGTTTGGTAGTGAAAGGTCTTAAAGTTCTTAAGTTATTGTAGTGTTTTTGGATTCTGTTACTTATGGGTGTTTTGTATTTGCAAAATTCCCGTGTTTATCCGCTATTGGTCTGCTGGTGTTAATTTATTGCCAGTTATTAAATATTATTGCATTTGTGTTGGTTGTTTCCCCTGTGACCATTTTGAGGTGCACTGTTCAGTAAAAATGCTGAGCCAGGGAAATCAGATGACTTGAATTTCATTTCTGACCTTGCCATTTAATTATGGAGTAACTCTGGGCAAATACCTTCTCTCTGAGCCTTGGTTTTCTCATCTATACAATGACATTATTATACTGTCCTTGCAAGTGAGTAATGTACATTGAAATAGTGTTTATAAAGCTTACAAGTGAGGTCATAGTGTGGTCTTAAGAGATCTCCATTAAATAACCGCACACACATAAGTCCACAAACAATTGTATTTTTTTAACTTGTCCAGATTTGTGGGCTGGCGATCTTTGTTGCTAACTGCATGCTTCATTCTCGATGTCATACAGTTAGTGAGGGTCAGCGCCAGGTCTGAACCCCAGACCCTTTAGTTTCAGGGTCTGGAAGTGCTCTGAACCACCCCCACTGAGCTGCCTTTGTGAGAAAAATAAGTACGAAGTTTAGGAATTTTGAGATAAGATGTCAGTTTGCAGAATTCACTGTTGATGCAGTGTCTTCTCCCCTGAATTAAGGCCCCTGCAATTGACAGAAATTGACCAGTGCGCTGGTAGGTGAGTTGGGTACATCCCTGCTCTTGGTTTTAAAACAATTTTATATGTCAGAGCTCAAAGATTTTCCCAGCTGAGGACTTCCGTCTACACTCTCTTGAGTTATGAATGAAGGAAAGGAGGGGTTACGGTGGGGGTCAAGTGTCAAAAAGGACTTAATATTTTCTCTCCAAAAAATTCATCACCTCCAAGGTCAGAAGATCTAACTACAGAAAGGCCAGAGACTGCTGTGGATACTGTCTAGGTGTCAGACAAAATTCATTAATATCCAGCCCTCATCACTTATTTGCTGTGTGACCTTGGGCAGGTCTCTTAACCTCTCTGAGTCCCTGCAGATTACTACTTATTTACAATGTACGCAAAGCACAATATGTGCTTGGTGTTAATGTGGATATTCAATTCTACATTGTGGCAAAACCTCTGTGAGCAGGTGAGACATACAAGTGCTCAACAGAAGGGGGGGGGTGTCCTGTTTTCCTTTTGCACCTTCTGTTGCCTTTACCCAGAAGGCTCCTCCTTCACATCTTCACGTAGCTCCCTCCCTCACTTCCTTTAGGACTTTGCTCAAACGTCATTTTCTCAGGCCACCTCATGAATACAAACTTCCTCCTGCACTCTGCTCTCATCTCTGCATGATTTCCCTCCCCCCATTTTCTGTTTCCTGACATAATACATACCTTGTGCTCCCCACCCCAACCCCCACCCCCGACACTGTCTGGTACTCCTCTCTAGTAATGAGCTCTGTGAAGGATTGTTTTATGTTTGTTTCTTTGTTTTCCGTGCCCAATTCCTGGCACTTTGGGCAGTGCCTGGGACTGAATAAGTACTCGGTGCATAAACGAAGGCATTTGTCACAACAGAGCTGGTTCCCTTGAAGTCCTTGGGCACACCCAATTCCTTAGCAGAGCGCCATAGTCCTGGGTCCTTCATGCCTGGACAATGAAAGATGTTCCTGGAGGCTCTTCTCCTCCCCTCCATTCTCTCTGTCAATAGCAGGTGGGAACAGGTGGGGAAAGAGCCGGTGTCCTCTCCTAATTCTCTGGTGTTTTGCCTTTCTCACTCTCTCCTCCTGCACCCAGCAGCCTTTCCCCTCCCCTACACAGCCCCCCTCTTGGAAGTTCCAAGTTCTTTGTGGCACCAGCCCCCAAGGGTGCCTTTTCCCTCCCCTCCCTGCATGAGAGCACCCTGCAGAAAGGCAAGTCCCTCTGTGCCCTCCCACCCAGGCCTGAATCTAGCCCCTCCCAGGCACCGTGACCCCTCCTGACAGGGCTGAAGCTGCCCCAGTCCCGACGATTCATCTTCAGAACTCACCCTCACGCAGGTAAACACTGAATCAGAGTCCAGTTTCTCTTTCGCTCCCGTGGCTCAGTTGGCTCTGGGCTTCCCCAGCCTGGGGCCTCCCCCGGTGGTGGCTGTGTTTTCACTTTTCCTACATCAGCTGGAATTGCCCATCTGTCCAAGTTAAAAAAGCTGCACCATGGGGCTCAGGTGGGAATCACATCTCAGGCAGAGCTGGAAGTTCAGAGACAGACAGACAGACAGACAGAGCAGTCTGCTGGGATCCAGAGGAGGACACTGAAGTCAGAGACGCCAAACAAGACTGAGTGAGGACCCCAGGCGACAGCTTCTAAGAGAACATCCAGATTCCGCTATCTGCTGAAGGAGACCAGGGTCCAGGAACGAAGCTGGGTGAGCCCCCTATCGTGGTCCGTGACCCTCAGCTCACCCTCAGCGCCTGATGCTCTCTGACCCCTCACCTTTCTGTCCTTCCGTATCACAGCTATGGCTGTGGGCTGCCTGCTGGTGCTGATGATTATGGCGCTGACCAGGGCAGGAGCGGTTCCTGGCCCCAAGCCCCTCGGGGTCCTCCCGGATGCAAGGGGCTGCCACTTGGCCCAGTTCCAGTCTCTGTCCCCGCAAGAGCTGCAGGCCTTCAGGAGGGCCAAGGACACCTTTGTGAGTCTCCCCACTGCCCCGCCTGCTGTGGGCTAACCTCCCCACCCTGCCTCTCTGGGTTACCGTGCTCCCCTCCCGCAAAGGGGGACCTGCGCCCTTCCCTCGCGCTACCTCCACCAGTCCTGCTACCTCCACCAGTCCCGCAGTGGCAGACTCACCCCTCCCGTGGTGGAGGTGCTTCTATCACCCTTTTGCAAGTTAGCCTCAGCTCCTCCTGCTGTTAGCATCGTCCAGTCCTACTGGAGTGTTCTCCCCTCTGTCCCTCCTGCTGGGGGCTGACCTCTGCCTTTGCTTTCCAGGAACAGTCGCTCTCCCTGAAGACCTGGAGCTGCCGCCCCCGCCTCTTCCCCAGGACCTGGGACCTGCAGCAGCTGCAGGTGGGGGGACAGTCAGGCCCACCCCCGCCCTCCCCTGGCCCTGCTCCTCTGGCTCCTTAGTCCGCCCCTTCACCTTCTCACGTGTCCGTCTCTCCTCCCCTCCCCACCAGCACAACACACCGCTTCCTGTCCCTGAGCACACTGGCTGTGTCCTCTCACCTGTCCCCCTACTGTCATCTGTCCCTGCCTCAGTCCACCCCACCTGTCCTCTCTCGTGCGCAACTCTCATCTGTCTCTGTCTCCCATCCTCAGGTGTGGGAGCGCCCCGTGGCCTTGGAGGCTGAGGTGGCCTTGACCCTGAAGGTCCTGGAGACCATGGCTGACAGGTCCCAGGGGGGCATCCTGGACCAGCCCCTTCACACGCTGCGCCACATCCACTCCGAGCTCCAGGCCTGTGTGAGTGCTTGGGGGGAGTGGGGGAGGCACCCAGGCCCTGTCTGCGCTCTGACCACCTGAACGTCCCCCTCCGTCCCAGGCCCTGCCTCACACACCACCATCCTCTGCCCACAGGTCGAGGCTCAGCCCCCAGCAGGGCCCCAGCCCCGAGGCCGCCTCCACCACCGGCTGCACCGGCTCCACGAGGCCCCAGAGAAGGTGGGTGACCAGGGAGTGAGCAGTTTCTGGGGACAACTGGGAGCCCAGATGACAGGCAGCCCCTGACCAGCCCTTCCTCCCCCACAGGAGTCCCTCAGCTGCCTGGAAGCCGCTGTCATGTTCAACCTCTTCCGCCTCCTCACCCGGGACCTGAAATGTGTGGCCAGTGGAGACCTGTGTGTGTGAGCCCCGAGACCCACCTGCACCCTGTCCTGACATCTTAGATATTACTTATGCATCAACCACTTTTCTTAATGTATTGCCACCCAGTCATTATTTATGTATTTATGTGCATGGATTCTTAAATGTGGACCCACTAAAATGTTTATTTTTCTACTTTGTATAAAAATTGCACAAATAAAAAAATGAGGAAACAATGCTCCTTGTGGTGTGGGACTGTGGGTTTGTGTGGACTAAATTTTTAGTTTTTTTTGTTTTGGGGGTTTTTGTTTTTGTTTTTGTTTTGCTGATGTAACCAGTTATCGCAAACTTAGCATCTCCAAGTAAGACAGATCTCACATTTCTGCAGGTGAGAAATCCAGGTGGCCTCAAGAGTTTCTCTGCTGTGGGTCTCACAAGGCTGAACAAAGTGTTGCTGGCTGGATTCTTATGGTGGGGGGGAGGGGCTCTGGGAAGAACCTGTTTCCAAGCTCATTCAAGTTGTCGGCAGAATCGGTTCCTTGTGGTTGTAAGACCGAGGTCCCCGTTCCCTTGTGACGTTGTGAGCATCCATCCTTGGCTCTTGGTAGCCTCTTTCTGGTCTTGACGCATGGGACCCTACATCTCCGAGCCAGCAACAGCATGGGAAGTCCTTCTCACGTTTGGAATGTCTCTGACTTCCCCCGTCTGGCACATTTCTACTTCCAGCCCGAGAAAGTTCTCTGCTCTTCCGGACTCAGTGTTTAGATTGGACCCACTAGGATAATCCAGGGTAATTTCCGTATTTTAAAGTCCACAAACCCTAATCACATCCACAAAACCCCTTTGCCACGTAACATAAGTAGTCACAGATTCCAGGGCTTGGGGTGGGCATCTGTGGGGGGCCAGTATGCCGCTTACCGCAGAAGATGTGTGATTGTGTGCATGTGTGTTCTCTCTGAGGGCACGTGAATGGATCACTTCGATGCATTCTATTATAAAATTATATTCACTAAAATGCCTTCATAAGAAGAACATTTGTCATCATACCCGAGAAGTCCAGAACAGCAGGGTCCCGTATGGTCCACGGGCTACACATCGCTAGCGAAGCCCTTGATACGAAGCTAGTATAAGCTGAGCTGGGCTCAAAGTATAAAATACACTGCAGAAATTGAGGGATTTTTATTTAAAAATTTTTTTTCAGATGGTGCCTGCCAAGTTTCTCTGCTGTAAAGTGACTATTTCCTCTTTGTAGCAAGGGAGTAGGGGGGGAGACTTGAAAACTAGATAAATGTAAATGCATATTCCTTCTCAAACTCCAACCTGTTCATATTAGCATGCACTGACGGTGTTCGCCTGGTTGTTACTGTCAGGACAGTTACCAACCAGTGATTCTCTTTCTACATTTTTTAGCTGGCATTCTACTGTCAGGAAGAGCTTTTCTCTTCTCCCTCATTTATGTATTTACCGATTAATTTCTATCAGCATGGACTCATGGCTTATTTTATTCAGTGGATTGTAATTCCTTACTCTCATTTATTTCGCTGTTCCAGTTGTCCCCAATCAGGTCAATGGGAACACTTTCAAGAGGGCGCCTATGTCCTTTTGTGTGTCCCCATCATTCTCTGAGCACCACCTTGCTTTCTGGAATATGATTTAAAATATATATATATTTATTTATTTTAGGGGGAGGGGCAGAGAGAGAGAGAGAGAGAGAGGGAGGGAGAGAAGCAGACTCCTGCTGAGTGCAGAGCCTAACATGGGGCTCGATTTCACGACCCTGAGATCATGCCTGAGCTGAAATCAAGAGTCGGATGCCTAACTGATTGAGCCATCCAGGTACCCCTGGAGTAAGATTTTTAGTAAATTTTGCCCTGCCCCAGTTCTGTAAAGAGCCATTTCTCCAAGAAGATCTGGTTACTTTCAGTGGAGAACAGTATTTAGAGACCAGGATGTAAGTACTAGGTGGGCTGATTGCTACAGGAATACCATTGTCTCTATTCTTTCTGAGAACAGAGCTAGGGAGTAGATGGATGTATGTAGAAAATTTTTGTTTACTGTAAAAGGCTAAAATCTCAGTAATAATTTTTGTATTGATTATCTGTTGAAATTATATTTCAGATATATTCTTTATCATTTCATATATTTTGTATATTTATTGATCATATATTATTTCATATATTTCTTTTTACTTTTTAAATGTGGCTACTTGAATTTAAAATTACATATGTGGCTCACATAACACTTGTATTGAACAGTGCTGGTTTCAAGAGTGTGATGTCATAGTGGTTCTAGGCTCTTTCCACCTGGCTACTCCTCTGTCCTCAGTGTATCAGTACTGTCTCCCCTCATGATCATAAAATGGCTGCCACAGATCCAGCCATCACACAATCACCTAATTGGCCAAAAAGCAGAAATGGCAAAGACTCCAGCTAGCTGTATTTATATTTATTCTCTCTTTCTTCCTTTACTTAGAGAACCCCCGAGTTTTACGTGAATTCAAGAGTGCTCTACCAAAGACAACATTTCCCAGCCTCCCCTGCACCTGAGGCAGCTGGGTATTGCCCAATGCATGCAAGTGAAAGTGATCTGAGCACCTTATGAGTCAGGAAATGGCAATGCCTGTCTCTTCTCCTTTCTCCTTTCCTGCTGAATGACAGGAATGAGAGTAGTCAACTTATTTTGTCTAAAATTTTCCAGGATATTTTCAGTGGCTATAGAATTCTGTGTTGACAGCCTTTTTCTCTTTCAGCACATTAAAGATTCACGGTAAGTTATATATAGACTTAGATCCTTTCTTTCTGGAGCTCCCTCCATATTGAGATATCCTTTCCCACTTTCTAACTGCTCTGGAAGTCCCAAACTCTGGTGTCTGGTGTCCAAACTCAGGTCAAGGACTATGGTTTTCTACTTGAGTTCTAGCTGTCCCTTGCCACATGGACAGAGAGGCATCCCCAGGTGAAAAGCCCTATGAACTTAGATCTCACACAGTGCATTTGAAGGTTGAATCCTCTCCAGTTTCTACCTGCTTCTGGTTTCTCTCCAGTGCCTCCAAATAATTGTTTTTAATTTTTAAAATTTTTTATTTGGGAGGGCAGAGGGAGAGAGAGAATCCTAAGCAGGCCCCACGCCCAGCACAGAGCCCAACATGGGGCTCAATCTCACGACCCTGAGGGATCTACCCCAGCTAAAATCAAGAGTCAGACACCTAACTGACTGAGCCACCCAGGTGCCCCTAAGTAGTTGTTTTTTTCTATTTTTAAGAAAGATTTATTTATTTTAGAGAGAGAGAGAGAGAGTGGGAAGGAACAGCAGAGGGAGAGAGAGTCCCAAGCAGACTCCTCGCTGAACACAGAGCCTGACACGGGGCTTGATCTTGCAACCCTGAGTTCGTGACCCCGAGATCACAACCCGAAGATCACAACCCCGAGATCACGAGCCAAAGCCAAGGGTCAGATACTTAACTGAGAGCACCACCCAAGCACCCTTAAATAGTTGTTTTTTTAAAAATCATTTTGTCCAGAGTTGCTGATTGTTTTGTCTAGAGTTGGTAATTGTTGTCTGTGCAGAAGGTAGTCAGTACCCTCTGACATGTCCCTGTACCACCCTTCTCCCTCTCTGGTTCCCCCTCAAGTGAATGATTGCACTTGGGCTCTCTCCTGTGGCTGCAGACACATGTCAGCTGGGATTTGATGGATTCAAAGGTTTGACTGAGTTGGATGCCATTGTTGGCTCACTCATATGGCTGGCTGTGAGCTCAGCCGGGAGTGTTGACCAGAGCGTCTGCAAGTGACTTCTCCAAATGACTCAGATTTCTCCCAGCACTGCAGTCCCTGAGTAGCTGAACTTCTTACAAGAGAGTTGGCTGCCCTCCAAGCAGTGTTTAAGGGACAGGAAGTGAAAGCTGAAGGCTAGTTAAGGACTATGTCCACAAATGACACTATATTCTATTGGTCCCAGCAGTCTCAGGCCCTGTCCAGATTGGAGGGGATGGTGAAAAATAAAACTCGCTCTTGATGGTGGAATAGCAATGTCACATTGCAGTAGAGCGTGTGGGATAGAGATATTGCTGGGAAATACAATTTGACCACAATAGACACAATCCTGAGTTATTTCCCCCCCCGCAATACTCTAAGAATGTACGATGCTGTGTGATTGAATGTGAGTGTCTGTCCAGGGTCTATGGTTGTCCAGTGCCCAGAGGAGTAAAAAAAAATCCAGGCACCTCCAGAGGCTTTATCTAACACTAGTGTTAGGGGATAGAGTGATTGGCATCACTCTCCATGGTCTTGAATCTGTGTGATTTCTCCCTGCCCAAAGCCATGCAGGAGAATGGTCCAACTCTACCAACACACACATATTGTGTGTTCTTTGTTTTGTCAATATTGACAAAAACTGAAGTATGATAATAGAAAAAAGGGAACAATTCTGTTTTATAACAATAGCAAAAAGTTAGTGAAAGATCACAGTGGATCCAGTCATATTCTAAGAGCTGCCCAAGGGAAAGTTCTTATATTCACACAATAATCCTATGTTGTTGGGGGCACCAGGGTGGCTTAGTCGATTGGGCATCTGCCTTCAGCTCAGGCCATGATCCCAGGGTCCTGGGATTGAGCCCCGTGTCAGGCTCCCTGCTCAGCGGGGAGCCTGCTTCTCCCTCTCCCTCTGCCTGCCACTCCCCCTGCTTGTGCTCTCTCTCTCTTTGTCAAATAAATGGATAAAATCTTTTTAAAAATCTACTTATAAAAAAAATAATCCTATGTTTTAGGTACTATTCTCAGCACACATTTTTATGTCCAGGAAAGGTGAGGAACTGAGAGGTAAATCACCCACTCCATGTTACACAGCTAATAAGTTAGGATTTGAAACAAATTATTCTTGACAGAGTCCATACTCTTTTTTTTTTTTTTTTTGATGTTGATCCCTCTCCTTGTTCATTGGTCTCTTGACAGAAGAGCAGTCACTGGTTGACAAGCAGAACTTAAGGTTCAGTGAGATTCTTGCTGTGTTTCAGGTGGAAAGGACCCCTCACTGGGAACCAGGGCTTC